GCAGGGGTGGGGTGGGGTGGGGTGGGGTGGGGGGGTTGGGGAATGAGAGGGAGAAATTGAAATAGATGAAGGAATAGGCCTGTCTCACAACATGTGAAGGTCTAAATTCTTATCACAGACTAATTTTAAGTTGGCACTTCTGAATATTTGGGATACTAATGAAAGAGATTGGGCAACAGTGGATTAACTACATCAAGGTTAACTTTCCTCCATAAAAGAAGACTAGAGATAGGCTTTCCTCAGTTATGCAAGCTCATTTCATCATTGTGCTTCTCCACAATGTGGCTTGCATCCTCAAAGTCACCTCATGGTTCAAAATGGCAGCTGGAGTCCCAGCCATCTCATCCATATTCTAGTAAGCATGACCGAGGAAGGAGAAGTGGTGAAAAGGCAAAAGGCCACCTCTTCCTGTGAAATTAGCCTCCTTTACACAGTCTTCCTGAGAGTCCCACCTAATATTTTACTAGAACTTAAAAACACAGCCTCACCTAAGTACAAGGAAGGCTGAAAAATGGAGTCTTTTAACTGGGCACATTGACACCCCAAATGAAATGGGTGTTCTGTTGCTGAAACAGAGATGGAGAATGGCTTTGAGTGGGAGCCAGCAGTGTCAGTGAGAAGCCAAACCCAAACATTTATTGATACTTTCATGGGGAAGAAAAGAGCAATGAGAAAAAATACAGAGGAGAGGAAAGAAGAGAGAAACATAAAAAATCCAGAAATAGCTGCAATATGAAATTTAGCTAAAACTTTCTTTGGAAAGGCACCATACCAGCAAATAATACTCTCTCTACATATGAAAGTAATGTAAGATCCATGATCATGCCTCAATCCCAGGTACCTGGAACCATCCTTGGCACATACTATGTGCTTGACAAATATGTTTTAATTGAGATATTTTTGAACCTATAATATTAGATTTAAAAAGTAAGTTTAAAGCATACTGGGCATCACATGATTGCATGCACTGAAGTCATACTGAAAGGCGGAGAGGCCAGCCTGTGAGGTCATGGGTCAGTCACAAAAGCCAGAGACTCTTCCCTCTCCTCTCACCCACACCCCCCCACTGCTTGCCACAGTCATGTGAACACGACACGCTTCCACATTCGCACCCACGTCAGTTCTCCTGGCTGGGGTATCCCTTCTCTCTTCCAGTCCATTTGAACTTCATCATGCCTTCAGGACCAGCTGACATCTGCCTTCTTCCTGAAGCTGCTTCTGACCCCTCCAGCCCTCACCACAGGTGCCTTCTCTGACCTCTCACGATCAGCTCCTAAGTGTAGTTGTTATGTCACAGTTCATGCTGCTTCATACATGGGTGTCTGGTCTCCTCAACCAGACTTTAAGCTCTTGCAGGAAGAACAGGGCTCCTCACACACACATATACACACACACACACACACACAGTTTATAGCACACTTTTTTGTACCTGATAAGTTCTCGATAAATATCTATTCTTTAATTATTTGGAGATATACCAAGAGGTGATTGCATCTGACTTTACATTTTTCCTGGTTAGGACTCTGGCTATATTTGGAAATTTACCAAGAATAGTATAGTTATGAATAATGTTGCAATGAATATCCATGTGTAAGTTTTGTGTGATGTGTATTTTATTTTATTTTGGGTATAGATCTAGGACAGAATTGCCAGTTGATTGCATCTGACTTTACCTTTTTCCTGGTTAAGACTCCTGCCAATGTGCTTTCTTTTATAGGAGAGAAAGAGAGAGAGAGAGGCTATAACTACTTAAGTGTCATGTCTGAAGTGCTTGAGGGCATGGCAGAATCAAATGAAATGATTTTAAGGTTGCAATGAACGAATCAAAGTGATTGGGTCAAAATATCCTACAAAGAAAAAGTTTAGCAGTGGCCAGTGTGGCTCAGCTGGTTGGAGCATCGCCCCATAAACTGAAAGGTCGAGGGTTTGATGCCCAGTGAGGGCACATACCTTGATTGTGGGTTCGGTCCCCAGTCGGGGAGCACAGGAGGGGCAAATAGTTGATGTTTCTCGCATCAGTGTTTCTGTCCTTCTCTCTCCTTCCCTTCCTCTCTCTCTAAAAGCAATAAGCATATCCCTGAGTGAGGATTAAAAAAAAAAAGGAAGAAAAAATGTACTGGCAAAAAAATCTAACCTAAGTTGAGCTGTGTATTTGAAAAGCTAAAGAGAAGAAAGAAGAGGGCATTCCAGCAGGGGCCATAAAAGTAGCAGAGGGCTGCTGATTGGGCTGAGCATGGACTATGTGGGGATAATAGGAGGCAGTGATTTGTTGGGAATCACAGCCTCAAGGGTTTAAAGACTAAATTTTGTACAGCTTTGGGAGAGCCATTGGAGACTGTGGTCCAGAGACATCTGTCATATAATCAGATCAAACAGCATGATCACAGCAATGACTGGCAGGTGCAGGCAGGATGGACAGACGAGGGGAGAGAACTGAGAGAGTAAGCCCCTATCCTTAGGAAGCTATACTAGCGATTCAGGACTGAAGCAAAGACATTAAGGATAGCCAGCTGGAATTCAGTGACTTAGATGTTGATTCAGTGGGCAAAAGCGTCATTCATCATGGGGCTGATTCCCCAAAGGACCCATGCCTATGTGCAGAGAACTCATCATTTTGCTATTATAAAAATTGATTCAGTCATTCAGCGTGGAGACTGATGCCAGGAGTTTGCTGCTAATCAGCCTAGAATAACAAGCCGGAGGAGAAGACAGGCAGGCCCTCTGCCACCTGGGCAAGGAGATGGTCCAGAGACACAGAACACTGCAGCGAAGCACCCTGCCCCTGCCCTGGGAGTCTGGGCAAAGGAAGCCACTGAGAGGTCTGGCAGTGTCCTTCTGGGGATTCCAGAGCAAACTCCTGGAATGACACTTCTCAGGGCTTTCTGTCAGAGCTTGACTGGTCAGGTGGAATCTGGCCTCAGGGGTCCATGGCTGGGCTATCCTCCCTGCTGCAGGAGCTTGAAGAGAGGAAGGTACGTATGGATGGGGAACAGGCTGGGGTGACACCAGTGGAGAAGCCTAGGGGAGGCGAAGCCTTGGAGAGGCACAGAGAGAGAAAGAGAGAGAGAGAGAGAGAGAGAGAGAGAGAGAGAGAGAGAAAGAAGTACATTTGCAATAGCAACGATAGTCTGCAATGGCAAGAATTTGTGCTTGTACAAGGTTCCCACCCTGGATGAGATGGTCTCCCCCTCACACAAATGTTCCCCTGCCCCTTCCTAAGAAGATCGCTGCAAAACTAGCCACATGCCACCTCGTGCCAAGAAGGCTGGTGTTGAGTATGGTAATGGTGAAGTCTCCCCCCATCTGTCCCCTCCCTAACACAGAGGAGACTGCAGCTGGCTCCATCTACAAACTGGAAAAGCATTTCTAGGATGATCCAAGACTCCAGTGTGCCCTGGTTTGGGAAAATCAACATCCCAAGTCAGATGCCTTTCAACTCTCAGATCGCTCCTGTCCAGGCCCCGCTGTCTCCACGTGGGGCATGGGCTCAGAGGGCCAAGTGAGTGGTGGGCGCTTGTTCAGGGGCCACTTGGGGCACTCTGAGCTTTAGGGGACTGACGCTGTGTGGCAACTTTGGGTGGATCTTAGCTCGAGTGCTCCACGGTGGGGGCCGGACAACCAGGTATTGGGGTGGGAGGCCAGAATTGCATTTTGCTGCTCTTCACCCACCCAGGGTATGTAAGCAGTCACCAATTGTTTTCTGTCATCTGTGTCATATCATCATCAGGGTCCCCCTGTCCTGTGGAAGGGGAACAGAGAAGGGGGCTGGCTGCTGGAAGAGGACTGCGTTCCGTTTGTACCAAGGGCATTCTTCACCACAGAACTTGGTGGCCCAGCCTGAGATTCACCAGCAGAGAAGCTCTTGCAAGAGCGCGGCATACCCGCACTGTTTCCTGGTGGCAGCAGGGCGTAGGGGGCGACGATCTCGCCCCAGCTCAAGAGCAAACCCACCCACACACCTGCACGCGCGCGCTGGGGGTGGGGTGTGGGCGGGAGCCAGTGAATGAGTTCCCCCTACACCTCCTCTACCAAACCTGCCGCATCCACGTTCTTATCCAGACTCCCCGACCCTGAGCTGCTGGGTTCAGGGAGCGGGGGTGGCGAGAGGCGATCCAAACCGCAGGGTGGGCCTGGACGCTTCCTCCTCCCGGGACGCCTTGGTCCTGACCGGCTCTTGACTCCTCCCCTGTCTCCATACCGCAGCATCCCCGCCCTGCCAGCGCGCCGCGTTCAGTGACCGCACCTGCTCCCGATTGGAGGGAGAAGCAGGAGGTGGAAAGGGAAAGCGAGCATTTGGGGAGCTCAGCGCCGCCGGCTGCCTGGCCTCGCCCTGCGCCGCGGGCCCCCGCAGCGGCTGCCGCACCGATGCGCTGTCCGCGGTGCTGACGCCGGCGCCCCGTTCGCTGGAGAGGGGGTGGAGACGCCCTCGTTCCTGTCGCCCCGACGCCTTCCCAAGCGGGATCACCCCCACCGCTGCCAAAGCAGGATCATTTCCTCAGAGGAACTCTCCGAGACCTAGCACTGCGGATGGATCCAGCAAGAAGCGGCGAGTGAGAGGGAAGTTAAACTTCGGACTGGAGCCCGAGAACCCGAGGTCGGGAGGCGCGTGTCTGGCGGCCCCCAGACCCTGAAACCGGAGGGCACCATCAAATTGAGCAAAGTTTGGCGGCCTCTTGGGGATAAGAGAAGGATTCTGGAGCAGAGGCGCAGTGAGGGGCCCGACCGGGTTCCCTGGCAGGGTGGTAGCAAGCCCCACATCCCGACGCCTGCTTCGATGCCCGCGTCAGTGCCTCCAGGACGACTGGGAGGCCGGAGGCGTAGCGGCAGCCCAGCTCCCCACTCCTTTCCTCCCTTCCCGACTCCCCCCACCCCCGCTCCGACACCCCGCCCCAGGCGCTGGTGACTCCGCCTCTCCGTGCCCGGCGGCTCTCCCGAGGGAGCTGGAACCGGTGCGCTTCCCCGGACTCCGCTCGGTTCTGAGGCTCCGAAGCCGACGCCGCTAGCTCAGGCCCGGGGGCGGGAGCCGGACTGCCCGCGCAGCCTGTGCCGGGGAGCTGCCAACTCCGGAGCCCCTCATGGGACACCCCCAGGGGCTCTGTTCGTGCCCTGCCGCTCAGTCCCAGTCCTAGGCGCCCGGGCTCACAGCCCGCCCACCCGCAGCCCGCGGCCTGACTGGACAGGAGTATGAGGCCCGGGGCCCCGCGGACGCCGGCCACTGGGCTGCAGGGGCCTAGCTGCAGACCCCCGCGCCCGAGGGCGGCGAGTGGAGAGCCGTGGGAGCCGGCGAGGCGTCGGGGCGCGGAGAGAAGCGCCCCAGCCCGGGCGCTGAAAGGGCCGCGGGAGCCGTGTGCGGCCTGAGCGCCGAGTAGGAGGTGGAGGCGCCCCGCCGTTCGGGGGAGGCGGTGAGGGGCTCCGCGGCGCCCCTGACCACTGGCCACCATCCTCACGTTTCTGCTCCCGCGGGGGGGATGTCGCGGCCCGGGCCACGAGCGCCGCCCCGGCCCCGGGGCTGAGCTCCGGACCATGTCCTCCCGCAGCCCCCGGCCCCCGCCCCGCCGCTGCCGCCGCCGCCTGCCGCGCCCCTCCTGCTGTTGCTGCTGCTGCCGCCGCTCGCACCTCAACGAGGACACGGGGCGCTTCGTGCTACTGGCGGCGCTCATCGGCCTCTACCTGGTGGCGGGAGCCACAGTCTTCTCGGCGCTGGAGAGCCCGGGCGAGGCGGAGGCGCGGGCGCGCTGGGGCGCCACGCTGCGCAACTTCAGCGCGGCGCACGGAGTGGCCGAGCCGGAGCTGCGCGCCTTCCTCCGACACTACGAGGCCGCGCTGGCCGCCGGCGTCCGAGCCGACGCGCTGCGCCCGCGCTGGGACTTCCCCGGCGCCTTCTACTTCGTGGGCACCGTGGTATCCACTATAGGTGAGCGGCACGCCCCGCGCGCGCTTCCTCTCGGAGCCTCTAACCTGGCGCCTTTTTCGCCTTTTTCGTTGTTGGGTAGCTGGGTCCGCGTCAATCGGCTACCTGCTCTTTTATACCCCGTTGCCCACTTTCTTCCTGCCCTCTCCTCTTCGCGGTTCCCCTACTCCGGCCCCTTCTCTCTCTTAAGTGGCATTCGGTGCGGGAAGTGACCAGAGGAGCCCATTCCTGGTGCTGACCCAGCGGTGACTCGCCTGGCGGTGCAGCCAAATGGGGAGAACCCTCACCCAGGCGCTGGGCAGGCCCGGGCCGCCGGCGCTCCCGCGCTCGCCAGCTCCGGTACTGAACCTCTGGACGACTCAGTTTTTTCCTCTGTAAAAGGACCTGTGAGCGTATGTGTCAAGGGTCTTCTGCTTCCCTACTACTTCTCACAGCCCCTGGGCCTCAGTTTCCTCATACAATTGATTTGCAAAGCCCTTTCTCTCCACTCACGGCGTTTGTTTTGTTTTTTTTTCTCCTCTTGAGGCTCCTTTAAAATTTTTTTCCATTCGTTCTCCCCTCAGCATCCTCTACCAGGGGTGTCCAACCTTTTGGCGTCTCTGGGCCACACCAGAAGAAGAAGAGTTGTCTTGGGCCACACATTAAATACATTTCGACATTTAATCACACACAAAAACCCTCAATGTTTTAAGTAAATTAACAATTTTGCGTCGGGCTGCTTTCCTAGCCATCTTGGGATGCATGCGACCCTTGGGGTGCAGGTTGGACGTTCCTCCTAGCCCTTTTACCCGCGGGAGTGCCACCACTTTCCCCAGAACCTCTTTCCTAGATTCCCTTCCCACCTGCTTCTAGAGTTTACATCGGCCCCTCTTCAAAGAAAAGCCCGTAAGACTTGGAGGCCTGGACTTCAGCTGCTCCTGTTCTGGTCCCCCCTTGTTTTTTCCCCCTCCTCCACGTCGCCTTCCCCTCCAGTTTCTTGACCTCTCTTCTTTGTTACCTTGCCATTTTTTCCAACCTATAGTGGCACCACGGGGTAACTTGAGCCCAGTAGGGGTAAGTATTTCTATACTTTCCATCATCTCTTCTGTTCTTGGTGTAAACAGTTCATGGTCTCACAACCTTACACACAAAAAAATGCTTTGTAAATACTCCGTGAAGCTCCTCCCCCCACTACTCCCACGCCCCCCTCCTCTGAGCCTCTTCCCTGGAGATCCTAGAGCCACCACTGCTCCCCACTCCACCCCTACCCTCCCTTCTCTCCTCGTCCACTTCCCCCATCCCCCTTTCTCCCTGGGTCCTGGGTGTCACAGGAAATGGGCCCAGTTACTCTACAGAGTATGGAATAAACACAAGATTTTTTTACTTTGGCAACATTTTGTGAGTGTGCCATCCACTCCTGCTTGGAGTCCCAGGGTGGGAGAAGGCACTCGGCTGTTCAGACTTCCAGCCACCCTAGCTGGTGGTAGTTCTGGAGAAGGCGGCTGGACTCACTGGGCTGAGAAGTGGGGGATTTCAGAGACACACCTCCATGAGTGGGTTCTGCTCTGGCTTGGTAGGCCAGCTTAGAGACAGGAGCATGGACTGACTGGCCAGAGCCATCACAGATGGCTGCTGGGAGGCTGAGAGAAAGACTGTGTCCGTGTGCAGGGTATGGACAGCTAGAGATGTCTCTCTGAGTGCCTGTGTACAGTTTACTAAGGGGCTCCCTTTGCTTCAATGATTTTTAATCTGTCATGCTTGATCTGATTGTCTTGAATTAAAAAAGGCAAATGTGGCCCAATTCCAAAGCACAAATTAGATTAAAATACCCTTTAAAAGCTATATCATGTTGTTATGGTGATTGAAGATATAAAATGACCCCCTCAAAAAATCCCCTTTGAAGAGCTGCATCAAGTTGCCATAGCAACTAGAGCGTTTTTTTTTTAAGTGCTTTAAAAGTACTAAGGACGTTTAGTCCTGAAGGATGACATCATGTGTCCCTAGCTCATTATTGACTTGGGCTCTTCCTTTTGTAAACACACCTTTTTGCTCTCTTCCACCTAGATGCACACCTGTGCACACATTGGAACACCACAGCTTCTCCCAGTCACAAAGGAAAAGGGGTTGGCAGTGTCCTCGTCCCCTGTGGGCTGTGAGTTCATGCAGATGGGGCTCCATTCCAGTGACCTGGTGTCTCTGTGCCTCTTTGGTGAGCTCCCATCGTTTTGTTCATTCACTGCCCAGCCATCGCTTCTAAAGCTTCTCTCAGCTCTTTGTACAAAAACCAAGTCAGTGCGTTGGCAAATTGTTCCAAGCCCCAGCCTTTAATCTACTGGCAGGAATGGCTGTTCTTCAGTCAAGTGGAAAAGAACTATATTCTCTTTCTTGATTTGTGTTCTTTGGATGTCGCCAAGCAGTGTAGGAGGGCTACACTAAAGCATGTGGCTGTGTTACGAATGACCCAACACATTGTTTTCCAAAATCAGCTACTGAAAAACATGAATCTCTGAGAGGAGCTGCACTCGGGGAGCAGAGCCAGCCTGTGGACAGCTCTGCACTGAACTAGTCCCTTGCAGAGGTGCCAAGATGGCAGCTGGAGTAGCAGGGTCTCTGTTATCCACCTCCTGTCATGGTCTGAGGCAGTGGTTCAAATTGGTCAGATAAGTTCTGCTGAGTCCCAAGTAGCATGATTGTCATTTCAGCCTTCCTTTGCAAAGTGTACTTGGATGAGATTTAAGTAAAGACCTACTTACGTTAGTTTCTCTTCTGCTTACATAGTTCCTTCCCCTTAAATGCCCTGCATCTTCAGAGACAATAATTACTATTCTGGTGCTTTTATGGATTCAGCAGCTCAGGGAGCCAAATTCAGTCCAAAATGGGCATAAGGATTCTCTATCTGCTACCTTACCCAGTGAAGAGGAAAATTAGCATGCACTCAGTTATATCCCATCAGTGAATATCACAGTGTAAATGGTCCATGCAGCGGTATGAACTTTGTGGGGGGTGTGTGTGTGTGTGTGTGTGTGTGTGTTGTGTAGGCACCGCTCAGTCATTCATCTAGACCTTAGTATAAAAACCCGTCCTTTATTCATTGCATAAAAATGAATTGTGCATGTCAGGTCCGGTGCTAGGTTTTGAATAGTGAAAGCTTAGTCTATCAGGCAAAAGTGAAAGCACACGCCAATGTGGGCCATCGAGTGCAGCATTTCTGGGCAGCACATCTTGGCTACCTTTACTAAAGATGATTAGAACAAGGAAAGGGGGACCTTTGGTCCAGTTCCACGTGGCTCAGAATGTTAAAGAATCTGTCTTAGGTCACAGTTAATTATGTGTTTAACTGGGTCCGGAATCCAAGTTATGCAGGATTTGTTCTACCAGCTTCATGCATATAATGTGTGGGTACATTCTTTTTTGAGATGAAGTATTTAATAGTGGGTGTGTGTGTTTAGGGGAGGGAAAGAAGGGGCAGAAATGGGCCTTTGTCTAGAGGGAGACACAGAAGAAAAGTTCAGGTATGGCTGTGTGTACCAAGGGTTAGAGGGAACATCGTAATGAGATGGAGTGTTTGTCCTGGCATGTGGTGTGAACAGGGCTCCATGTCCAGAACTAGACCATTGGCAATTGTATAGACAATATGCGTGTCCACATGGCACAGACCCAAAGCAAACATTTGCCAGTGGTTGTTCACCAGTAGCTAAGACTAAATAGACAGTTAATCTGAATAGCTCAAGCAAAATAAAAATCCACTTTGTGGTCTAATTATTCGTATTGATTACTTACACAGACCCAGAATCCTGGGTAATATTATTTCTCCCACTTATGCCAGGTCACATACTCCCAAGGGGCCAAAATCAATTTTACTTGAACAGGAAGGTATCCATTTGTTCATCCCCCATTTAACAAAATCCAAAGAAAGCGTAAGTTATCATCACTGCATGTGTGGCCCTTGGCATGTCCTTAACTGCATACCCTGTGACCATATGAACTGAAGATAAAGATGGCAGCTTGTGTTCTTTTAGTGCTAAGCAATATTCCTGGAGGCAGTGCTCTTGCTCAAAGATATTTAAACAATCTGAAGACTATTAATCCATCACTTGACACCCTAAAGGATGTTATATTGGCTTACTTTGAAAAGATTAAAAGGAAACTCTCCACTGGCGTTTTAATTATGCAACTGCTGTCAGATTTACACACAGGGAAGAACATATTTAAGCCCTTTTCCAATGGCAGCTCGATATAAACAGAAATCTTTTTGCTTCCTTTTATTAGGTTTTCTGGCAGCATATTTCAGCTTTAAAGCTAAAACCATGGCTCTATAGACGGGATGGTGTAGGGATGAGACTTGTCACTTTCGGCACTGAATAATTTAGCTTGCTACTTTCAGGATTAGGCACACTTAATTATTCAACTGTGAGATTACTAACAAGTCCTAACTTTTTTTCCTTTAAAAAAAAGATTTTATTTATTTATTTTTAGGGAGAGGAGTAGGGATGGAGAAAGAAAGGGAGAGAAACATCGATGTGCAAGAGATAATATATCAATCAGTTACTTCTCACATATCCCCAACTGGGGACCTGGCCCGCAGCCCAGGCATGTGCCCTGACTGGGAATTGAACCAGTGACATTTTGGTTTGCAGGCCAGCAGTCAATCCACTGAGCCACATCACCAAGGGTTCCTTTAAAAACAACAACAAAAAAAAAAACATGGATTAAAAAATTTTTTTTTGCTTCAAAGGAAACATTATAAGACCAAAATGTCACTACCACATTTACATTGGACTTTGTTCTAACACGTATGGAATCCAGCTGGAAGTGGCTCAGGAGTGAAATACATTGCCCAGAAGGAGAAGAGCACCTTTCCTGGCTTATTTCCCTCATCAACTATTTTTTTTATTGAAAGATGATGCTATGACAACTCAGAAGGACATTTAGGAAAAAAACCATAGCGTCTGATTTGAAGCTGAGAGCAGGAAATGCATTCTCATTCACTGCTCCATCCTCAGCCCCCAGCACTGGACCTAGCACGAACTAAACACACAATAATTACGTGTTCACTGAATGAGACAACAAGTCACTTAAAACCCAACTTCCCCAGCCCAGGTCTTCATCTTTGCAGGCTCCCCTGCAGCTGTCTGGCATACCTTTTGTAAAAAAAAAAAAAAAAGGGGAGGGAACGAACTAATTTGTACAGAGTTGTTAAAAACTTTTTAATGGGAGATTTAAAAAATTATTGTTTAGAGAGAGAGAAATATCAATTTGTTATTCCACATAAATATTTATACAGACATTGGTTAATTCTTATATGTTCTCTGTCTGGAGATCGGGATGACGCTCTAACCAACTGAGCTATGCATCCAGGGCCCTGAGTTGTTAAAATTTCATCATCAACGTTCCCATGTTTCCACATGGCCTTCACAT